GACGGAGAAGGGGGAGATAATTTTTTACCTTTTACTTAGGGAAAAAGTGAATTGGTAAAAAATAACGCAAAGGCAGCGGACTTATTTATACCTGGAGGATTTTCCTAAAATTACTTTATTTTTGGAAAAATTCCAAAAAAGTGAATTGGTAAAAAATAACGCAAAGGCAGCAGACTTATTTATACCTGGAGGATTTTCCTAAAATTACTTTATTTTTGGAAAAATTCCAGAAATTTTCGAGAAGGCCTCAATGCCCACTAACGCAACAAGACCATCAACTCCATCAATCTTCCAAGTAAAAGAAAAAGAAAACAAGTCTAGGAAAACAAGCTGATATCGGTTCACGCGGAATAACGTAAATTTCCCGAGTTTGATGACAAGACGTCCACGCCTGGCAACTGCGCAGTCCAACATATCGATCTTAGACTTCGGAGACTTTTATCTTGGCATCATCGTAACTCGATACTACCGAGCTGGGGAGCTAATTGTAGGGGTCAAAATTCTCCCCTATGAGATCGATATAACGACGAGATCAACTCTGCAGCGTCCTGACAAAATCGGATCAAGTCTACAAGGGCCCAGTCTGAATCTAGGCCCAAAATGACATTAGACCCATAATCAAAATGGGCTTAATGAAATTATGGACCTAAATTAGATATATTGCTTAATGGGTCAAACTTATTTTATTAGTTGGCCCATTTACTTAAACAGTATATATATCTCATTGTACTCACCCAAAAAGAGAGTTCAAAAATTTTGGCAAGGAAACTCTCTTGTAATCACAGCTTAACAGAAACAACAATAAATAATTCTTATTCTCAATCTTTGTTCTAAGTGAGTCCGCGACATAGAAATCTCTAATCCCCAAACACTCTTGACAAATTTAACTGTGCAGATCCGACTCCCACAGTCTTGTTGTGGATGCAATTTACATAATAAGGATTTCTCGTGACCGATACATTGATCTTCTAATATTCCACTCCTACAGCTAACAAGAATTGAATATGTTCACTCCAAAGGATATCTGCATAGAGATATAATCCGATAACTTTATCATTGGCCTAGGTCGCAAAGCAAATCAGGTTAATTTCTGCACTTTCTTATCTGCATCAGATGCAATGACAAGGGGATGGTATCATTGAAAATTTTAAGTTTCAGGTTTATCTAATTGACTTTGGACTTGCCAAAAGATATCGTGATGCCAATACCAACCGTCATAACCCCTACATATATGTATTGGATGTCGCTCATTATATTGTCTACCTTGTGTTCCATTTGCAAATGGTAAATTATCTATCTGTTTTAAGGTCACATTATATAACTTATTTTCTTTGTTCGATTATATTCAGGAAAAACAAGAATTTAACTGGAACTACACGATATGCAAGTTACACATCTTGGGATTGGTAAGGACTAAAGAGTGCTGCGATTTTTTCTCCTTATGTGAAGTAGATGGTCTTTGCTTACATATATTTTGCTTACATAAGTCGACGGGATGACCTAGAATCTCTTGGATATGTGCTACTGTATTTCCTAAGAGGAAGGTGTGTTGGATTTTCAACTTGAAAGAAACTAGCTAACATTGTGTATTTTCGAAGGGTATTGGTATTCCTTGTTTTCTCGGACATTTACTTAACCGTTTTCTTACTTTACACTATCTTCTTATTTTCATGAACCTCCCTTTCTAGTCCTCTGTGGCAGGGTCTTAAGATTGTTGATAAGAAGGATAAATATGAAAAAAATTGTAAGAAGAAGATATCAACTCCAATTGAGATCTCTTTCCCTTTACTGTGAGATGGAATTTTCTTCCGTAAATCCTCATTCGTCTGAATATCCATATCCCATGTGTTATAGGTTCTATGCAAAAATCACCCTGTGGAGTTTGCTTCATATTTTCATTACTGCCACACACTGACATTTGATCAGCGCCTTGATTATGGATTCTTGAAGCGGCTTTTTCGTGATTTATTTTCACGGTAAGGTACTTGGGAAAAAGACATCTTTTCATCATCTTTCTAATTCCCTCAGCTAATATGATTCACTTATATCAATTACATACCTTACTCAGTTACATTTTTTCTTCTCTCCAGGATATGTGTTCGATTATATATTTGACTGGACTAGAATTAAGTATCAACAAGCACAGAAGACTAGAAATCAGTCTAAGGTATAGTTGCTTGGTTTGCTGGTATTACCTTTCGTGTTAGTTGTGGTGCTAAATGTAGATATGCTTGTCTTACTAACAGAGGGTTGTCTTGTATACTGTAGGCAGTTCCGCGGTCTAGCAATGCTCGTGGTCAGCTCTAGTTTAACTATTTTGGTTGTTTCATTTACTGGTTAATTGTAATATATTATTTTTGGGAGATGATGTGTCTCACAACTTTTCATAGTTGACTAAATATGTCTGGTTGGTTTAGTTGCAACTGTCAATTTCAGTATCTCTGTTATGTTGATGCTAAGTCTCCGTTTGGCAGGAGGAAATAATACTCCACATGAAGCCAAGGTCTCTAAGCGCGTCATATCAGCTAATGCCGTTGGTCCAAGCCCACAGATAAATAATAATATGGCTACAAGGAAGAATCCGGGTTTTGATTACTCCATCCAAAAGAATGTTCATGGTTCTCTGATAAAAGCTTTAACTTGTTTTGCATCGTCCATGGTCACTAACGAGCTATTGAATGTGATTTCAGCTATATACCATCAAGTTATTTGAACATGATACTGATGAACATCCTTTACCATTATTTTACTAAAAATCCCATTGCAGATGAACATACCATCCACTTAATTATCTCTTGAGTGAACCTCAAACAGAAATGTCTGAAAGTCAGATTAACCTCCCGAAACTTCAAATTCTGGGTATGGGAGTTGGAACAGAACTGGCGACTGGAGCTCATCATTCATGTCTCCCGGGAAATGGTGCAAAAAAAGGAGTTTTTCTTTCTTTTGATATCCTGAGCAGAGATTATTTGCCTTTGTGAGATACAAAGGTGTTAGGTGTAGAAGGATCTAGAATAATCAAGAATATATGCAAATATATTTCTAATAATTATCTCATTTATGTATTTGAGTATATTAGGAAACTAGGGTAATTAGGTTTGATATTCTCATCTCTATATAAACACATGATTCATAACCTTTATCATTATGAGAGTAAATAATATTCTTCCAATTCTAAACTTTCATCACATATAATATTAGGCAACACCAAACTTTGATTTCTGCAGTGGAAAAGCTCCAGACGAGATTCCATGAACAAACAAGGCATGAAGTTTATGTTTGCCTTTCCTTGAAGATTCTCTCAAATGACCGACTCACTCACCTTTGTATAAAACCTTGCAACGGGACGTGTAATTTGGTTTTTGTGATCCGTTCTCATCAGTGTACTCTGGTTCAT